GTATAGAGTGGAGAAGTTACCCCTGTGGGTATAAATGCCTAGAGTCTAACTGTCCAGGATTTGCTCAGATCCGCCATCCCACATCGAGGTGCTCTGTCTGGATGATGCTGTGTCCAGAGTTATGTCCTGGAATCACAGCATCACCCTTATTTGAGTTATTGAGTATGCTCAGGGTATCAACTGAGGTGATCATGGCTGCAACTGGATGGTTCCTGCATAACTAGGGACAGGACTGCTAGGAAAGTAGTCATGGCCTGGACAAGACCGCCCCTGGGAAGTGTTTGGATGATGCTGTGTCCTGAGCTTTGTCCTGGAATCACAGCATCCACCTTATTTGAGTTATGGAGTATGCTCAGGTTATCAACTGAGGTTATCATGGCTTTGATTGGGAAGTTCCGGCACAATTACGGCTGGGCCGCCAGAAAGTGGATGTAATCAGGGTGCAATTGGACGTGATCTGTGCGGGACCACCCGGAAGGTGGACATGCTAAGTGTGGGGTATGGACAAGGGTGACAGTCTCCTGGGGACAAATATGTTGGCAAGTATGGAAACATTGAGGTATGTTCTTGACAAAAATTGAAGAAGCTGCAAAATGTATTCAACGTTACAGAACATTGAAGGTGTGGAGCTTCCTGGTTTCAATTGCGTATTGGGGAGATCCTCCATAACTTCCTGGCTGGATAGGAAGTGATGGGAAATTTCTCCAATGAGAACACAAAGACATTTTCAGTAGAGTGAGGAAGGGTTAGGTCCTCGGACTGATTTTGTATTGCTCTCCGTGCCTACAGTGACAAGGGCACCTCCTAAGGAAGCGTCACCAGAACAGGTCCTGAGGGAACATCTCCCCAATGGGGTCAACCGGCAGAAACTGACCCTGAAATAGGTTTTATCTCTAGAGTTGGACTTTTTGAGGGACTTTTTCATATCACAATCCTACCCCTTCAGAAGATGTTCATTGAAGGGATTCCTGTGTTTGTATCTTCCAAGTGTTTAGAAATTAGGGGCCAAGATCTCATAATTCATTTTTTTATGACCTTTATAGCCCATCAAAACGATCATAACACTATAAGTAGCACCAGGAGCAAGCCCCTAAAAGAAGAGCAACTAACCCAAACTGGCTTTACTGGAGCCAGACCAGGAAACATTGATTCTGGTTGCTTGCTATGGTTTGCTGCACTTAGCTCTTCACTCCTCGAGCTGTTTTACTGGTTAAATGTCATTATTGCTGTTCAGAAGATGTGATATGGACACGTCTGTGTCATTACATGGAAGTATCTAAGCCATTTAGCAATGTTTTGTAAGACTGCAGAATTTCCCTTTAACAGTGAAGGCCCCATGACATTCTGTAGATGTCTGAGGGCTTATGTTAGAAGCTCTTCACTAACCGAATTGACCACAGCTGGTTACTGACACAGATCGGGACCTTGTACAGCCCTTGGTTATTCCTTCATATTAAAGACCAAGCAAACTAAAAGCGGGACTTGCATTCAAATGCAAGAACCTGCTTATGTGTCTGCCCCTTCCCCCCTGGAACTGAGAAAAAAACACTTTGGGGGGAAATCCTACAAAAAAACCCTTAGTCCCAGACTTTGGATGGACTCAGCTAGGCGAGGTGATGCCACTGGGTCTTCTTGTGGGATCCACAGAGAGCTGGGAATCCTAAATCCTTGGAGAACATGCTCCTGTACGGCGCAGTGGCGTCCTTTGGCAACTATTGAGATCCAGAACTTTCCTAAGATCCCTCTGGACGGCCCAGTGACATCAGCGACAGGAACAGATAGATCTGTGGTAGCAGTGGACTTATAGCAATAAGAATCAGTTTGGATGTAAAGCCAAAAAAAAATGGTGGGTGTAGTCCTTGAAGGAGGCAACCCCATGATAACTGTGTGTGTTTGTGGACCTGGTTAAGGTCCTAGACTGGTGGGATTGCTTATCAAAAGATCAAATCCTGGATGTGTGGTTAGGAGCACCTCTTAAAAACCGGTCAGGAAGGTTTGTTTGAATTGTTTATTGGAATAGAAATGTCAAAAACAGCCAATGCGTTTTGGGAAGAATTGGACTCCCCCTTCTTCATGGGTTGAGCAACATTATGTACTGGAAGAGATGCACTTTGTATCCTGAATTAGGGTTTTATTGTGACCAGTTTTCAGTGAGGGAAGCCACCTGGATCGCTTTCTCAGTGTCAGGAAGTGGCTGAAACCCGGGAGTAAGGGGGGTATTTTTAATGCCTTGCCTTTCAATGTGTTTTTGGAGTGTCTTGCGAATAGGGTGTGAGGAGAGGGGCCACCAGCCACATATGTGGCAACATCCACTTTAAACAAGTTACTAATACATCTGATTGAACTATTATTATTATTTACTGCAGCATTTAGCATGTCTGGGGGAGGCTTGAAAAAAAAAAAGTATTTTTAGTGCACGGTCCACTTTAACTGTCCCCCAGGCAATCCAAAACTGGGGGAAAAGTTTTGGCCGGAATTCTGACTTCAGATGAAGGTGGGGCGGCGGGCAGCGAACGTTTACATCACAAGACTAACTTCCTGTTTAATAATTCCGCCTTCTATCTTTAGCCTCCGTTATCCAAAAATGGCGGCTGCAGTGGAACAGTGGACTGCATGGCAAAAGTTCTAGAAATGTCGGATACGCAGGGCCGATTCCGGACGCAAGAATCCGCGGCAGAAAACTCGTGCCGGAGTAAAGCCGTATGCCCCTGGACGCAGGGTTTTACACCTGTGTGCGGGTTCACATTAGTAGCCGCCTATAATTATTCGTTACTATGGGCGGCTAGCTGGTGACGCATTTGCTGTGATCTGATTGGTCGCAATGGGCATCACTGACCGCATGCCATCTTTCAGGCACAAAAAATGTGACTTGCATATGTTGATTTAAAGGAGTTGTAAAGTCCCGGCATATCCTCTCCTGTTATGACATCAGCATTGTAATAGGAATACATAGTAGAGTGCTGCCTTCCGTCTCCCCGTCACTTCCAACAACTTCCTGGATTCCCGGTGTGCTTTGCGTCTCTTTCCCTGCTGCTTGAGGTGATGCAATCTCCATTTGTCAAGACTGCATATCCCATCATGCATTGCTTCCAACAAGCAGCGATGATGTTACATTGTTCAGACATTGAGTTGTAGTTCAGAAGGCAGGCTCCTTGAAAGTGGTGACACCAGGAAGTGCATATTCACAGGGCCGCGTGAAATGTTGTCAGTGCATTTAGGAAGTCCATCCTATGGGCATCATTAATAAGTTTACAATCTTCTAGATGGATCTGGTTATTAGGAGCGGGATAAAACATATGGAAATTCAATATAGAAATACATAGACCGTAGAGACCCTTTTAACACTGCGCATATTCGGCTGTAGATAAAGTTATCACACAGACGCTGCCTCAATTAAAGCGGTATGCTGAGTCATAGTCTGTGGGTGTGTAGGGAACAAATACAGATTACATTGTCTCTTTAAATGGTTGTCTAACATATATATAAATGAACGTTTTTTTAATTGCACGGATGAACGGCGCCATCTCTGATTTGGTGAGTTATTAACCCGTCTTGTTTTCCGGCAGGTCGGCACTGCTGCTGTGAAACAAAAAGCAAAGATGACATTTTGTTTCGGTGAGGAAATGTTCTTATTTTCACTCTGCGGCACCCTTCCACCTCGGCTTTATCTCTGCTTGCTTCATCTTCTAGACTTCTTCTCCGCGCTGTAGAATATGACCGCCAGATAAGACTGAGGAGTGTGTAGGCGTTGATTAGGTTTTTCCACTGTCAGGCAGAAAGAGGAAACCCTCTTCACATCGAGCCTCTCCCCCCACCCAACCACCACTGCTGTCCGTCAGCTCACTCAAATCTCCACTCCCCAGTACTATGCAGACACAGCTCAGTTACTGGGACCCATGGGGACCCAACAGGACCCTAAGGCTAGGTTACATATTTGAGCTCAGCTAATGAGACCCATGGGGGCCCAACAGGACCCCGACACCAGGCTTCATCCTTGACCTAAGTTAATGAGACTAATGGGGACCCAACAGGACCCTAAGGCTGGGCTGCATCCTTTAGCTCAGCTACTGAGACCCATGGGGACCCAACGGGACCCTGAGACTAGGCTACATACATAACCTAAGCTACTGAGACCCATAAGAACCCACCGGGACCCTGAGGCTAGGCTACATCCTTGACCTCAGCTACTGAGACCCATAAGAACCCAACAGGACCCTGAGGCTAGGCTACATCCTTGACTTCAGCTACTGAGATCCATGGAGACCCAACGGGACCCTGAGGCTGGGCTGCATTCCTGAGCTCAGCTATTGAGATCCATAGACACCCAAGGGGATCCTGAGGCTGAGCTGCATTCTTCAGGAATGGTGGTACCGCTACAACTGTCCAGCAGCACTGGTGAGGTTTTGAGTGAAGAGCTGGTAAGCTTCGGAGAAAATGGGAAACGGGCACATAGATTGTGGTCGACTACCAGCCTTGCAGTTGTACCGGCTCCTCTCCTGGACTAAATTGGCTTACTCTGATTTCACTGCACAATGGGAGCGCCTCACAATGTACATTAGAAGCTGCAGCAAGCCACATAGAGCCCACCTAATTTCCGGGCTGGAGGATGTTCACATCAGCTAGCCCTTTCCTCTCCAGCCTCACTGTCCCTGGTCCAACTTAAATAAATGCATTAAAAAAATCACAGACATATAAAGTATTTTAAATACTTAATTGCTTTGATTTTCCATTGCATTAAATATTTTAGTGACTTTTAATGAGCCTCTGAACTTGCTATAAAATGTGACACCTTCAGGAAGGGTCAGTTCCCTAGAACACCCCCCTGCCCTCCTTGCACATCATTGCCCTCTCCTCTTTTGGGAGTGTCTAAGTATTGTCTGTCCTGCCCAAGCTCTTCTACTTGTATCTCCCTGCATAGCCTTTTATGTAGCAGCCAGGAGAGGAGGGAAGGGGAATACTATAGACTCAAACTGTGCTGAAACTACAAATCCAACCATGCATCTGCCTCTGGGAGTCATGTCTGTGGCTGTCAGTCTTGCAATTCATTGTAGTTCCCCAACAGATGGGGGTGGCCGAAGTTTGGCTATGCCTTGCGTGACAGCTCTGAGTCTACTGAGGATCCCAACATCATATCCAAGATGGCGGGACCCAGCAGCAGTCACGGGGCTTTTAGTTGTCTACACAAGGGAGGCTTATACGAGTACACAACATGCATAAATAATGTTAAATGCTCATATAATCTTAGAGGATGGTTGATGTGGAAAATGAGTGATCTGGCAACTGGGTCTTCTTAGGACACATGAGGTCTTCTCTTTTTTTCTTTGATGTTCATGGATGGTCTGCAGACTTGCTCTGGTCATTGGTTTAAGCTAGTAAAGCAAGAGGGTCACCATGACAGCCGGGCAGCTAGCATTTCAGATGGAGGTCATCAATGGCAGCTTATTTATTTCCCCCTTTAACAGGCTTACTTTAAAAAGTGATCCTGTAGTTATGGAGAAGGTTATATGGTACAGAAGGGGGACAGGCAGTAGGATTTACCTTTTTTGTGTATTCTCTTTTTAGGTTATGGAGGGTTTAATGTATTCTGGCAGGATACCATTGAGTTCAGACTCCAGTATTAGTAAAGCTTTCAACTCCTATGCCATTCATTCAACCCTTTTGTGTAGATGTGACCATGATAGCTCTAGGAAAGTTGAGTTTGGTGGAAGTCACAATGTACTTCTGAGATGGTGAAGGCATTAGAGTCAGTCATACCAAATGTTCACTCAACTCAAAGTAAAGCTCCCATGTCTAAGAGCTGATGCCATAGGATGCCTCTTATTACTTTCATTAGCCGGAAAAGCCCCTTTATTTTTTCTCTCTTTATTAAGGGGTCCGGCTTTCTCTGATATCATGCCTAGGACTCACCAACTGCCCTTCCGTTCTTCAATGACACTGTCTTGGTGGACCATGGGCACTCTCATTGGACTGGGTTGGCAGTTGTTGGAGCTTAACCATGAAGCCCCCAGTAACAAAATGAAAATAAATGAGAGAGCGGCACTTAGTAGATTTGTTTGGTTTATCAGGGCCCGTGCACACAGCAGTAAATGTCCGTATTGCCTAAAATACAGTTTCCAACTGCTGTCAATGGCAGATGGTGGCTGCACGCAAATGCTGTATATTCAATTAATGAACAGCCTTATGCACACAGGACTGTATGTGCCTTCCTGAACGCAGGCAGTCTTCACTTGGGGAGGAGCATAGAGCCCTGTATGGATGTAGCTACTTGGATTCACATATATTTGCATATATGTATTTGCAGCTATGGTCTGCCATTGACTTCTACTGGCTGATTGGTGGTGGCTGTTTGCTGCTCAGATATATGCGTGTTCCCACCTCTTCCCTGCCATTGATTTCTACAGGCTGGGTGGATGGCTTGTAGAATGTCAATCCTACTGGAGTAGGTTGGCAGTTATTGGACTGTACTCTGCACTTGTCATCCCTGACATATTGCATGCTATACGGCCATTTACTGCCATGTGCATGAGCCCTTTTAAGTAATAGTAAGCATCTAGTAGTGACTGCTCTTAGGTAGAACATTAAAAATGGAGTACAGCTTTGGTAAAGCTGCCATGACAGCGGGCAAATAACATGGAGGCACACAGCCCTAGGTTGACCTTCAAGACCCTCACATGTATTGTTAATCAGTCCAACCAGCTTTAGGCCATGGATGCCATCAAGCTGCTCCATACTCAACCAGCTTAAAAATAGTGATGGGGTGTGTAGAATATTTTCTACAAGGGCTATCCCTTTAATGAGGAAGCCTGAGGCTGTTGCATCTCTTAGGGTCACATGGGATGGGGGCAGGTAGAGCGGCATGGCTGCTCTGCTGCACAATGTCTGTAGTGTGCCTGGTGCCCCCTTTCCGGCCAGAGCGTCCCAGGTTGCTAAGAGCCGGACAACCTGGGATGCTCTGACCAGAGTCTTGCCCAGCTCCTGGCAACCAGTGAAGTCACTGGTTGCCAGGAGCTGGGCGGGACGCCAGCCAGAGTGTCCCAGTTTCTAAGAGCCGAGCCAGGAGATGTAGAGCCTGCCGAGGGCAGTGCACTCTCCTGTCTGGTGGCTCTGTCTCCTCTACCCCTCTCTCGTGTGCTCCACCACTGCCCACCACTGTTTTCCACCAGTTGACATAGACATGCTGATCTGAGCATGCACATTTTATATTTAAAAAAAAAAAAGTATTTCTAGAAAAACATAATTGGCAGTTGGATCAAGCCCACATATCTGACCAACCCCCCGAAGTCAATGGCCAGCTTTAATGAAAATGCAAAGTACACTAAACCTTTATTAGTAAAACAACCAAGTTCCAAATCTACTTCCCCTAGCCCTCCTCAAAGTATAAAGGGGGAAGATCTCCTCCGGTTACTCTTAGCAATCATTCATGCTCTCCATCCGTTCTCTCACGCTGCACTGGGGCCACTCCTATACTAAAAGGGAAGATCTGAATATTTTTGATCACGGTCAGCAGAAGCAGCTTTGGCTTTTGGCAGCGGTAAACAACGCTCGGTTTCTGCTTGGCTTTTCTTCATGCTTTTCCTGCTGCGTTTCCTTTTTATGTAAATGTGATCTCGAGGGGTTCCAGTAACATTCATTTCTAGAGCAAGCCTCTCTTCTGGTGTTCTGATATTCTTAACCCTTCCCGCTGTGGTTACCATATGTCCCCTTATCCTGCCAATGTATATTCTCTAAACTCATGTATAACATAAATGCACAAGAGTTCGGAAATGTTAGCGTTGTCCCGATTAGCAGTTAACTGATGGCAACAGACAACAAGGCCTCTTCAGGTTTTGCTTTTGGGGCCACAGCTTGCCAAAGTGTCTCCAGATTCATATGGAATTGCTGAAGCAGAAACAAGTCCGATATTGACACCC